CTAAGGCGATCCTGACCTTGCTGACGCACTCAGAGCTGAAGCGGTACGCGATGGAGATCATCCCCAAGCTGCAGCGCTGCTTGGCCGAGTCTTATGAATAATATAGTTAGTTACTACTATTATTATGGGTGTTTGCAAGTGCCCTCATTTGGTGCTTAGATTGAAGGTGTTGCCCGTCACACGTGCTGGCAAGGCCAAATGCTGCAGTACGACCGCAGCCATCGGTGGCGCGACGTGTCCAAGGTCCTCTCGCAGTACTGTCGAGATCGCATCGAGTGGCATCGCATCTTAGCTGCACATTTTGATGATTTGCACGTCATGCATTCCACTCGGGCCAAACTCAAACAAGGGACGTTTTGCGCGCGACTGCCCTGCTAAGAAACTGGTCGCGGAGATTATCCAGAGGCTCCTGCACGGCCAGAGCCGTCTTTCGCTTTCTATGAGGACACGAATTGGTCTTGGAGGTCTTCTGACTGGGGCTGGGAGCGATCATCAAGCAACACAGGTCCAGCTGGCAACGGTCAGGATGGTCTGCCCCCGCCCGCCGATGTTGCAGCACCTGTGCCTCCTCCGGGTCAGGAGGAAACTGCAGGCCTTCAGCAGTCCTCCTCCTCCCAGAACCCCAATCCTGACGAGTTTTTGTGGTCCTCAAGCAAGGCCTGGCTGAGCCAAAATCAGGAGGGCGCTGCACGTGATGAAGAGAAGGCGGAGGAGAAGTCAGACAAGAAGGCGGAGGAGAAGTCAGACGAGAAGGAGGAGAAGCCAGACGAGAAGGCGCAGGAGAAGTCAGACGAGAAGGCGGCGGAGGCCAAGGAGGGTGGGAGCCATGATAAAGCCCAGGAGGCCACGGAGGAGAATCAGGAGGATGGAAACCACCATGGGGCTTGGCTCTGGTCACCCGAAGAGCAGCAGCAGGCAGACTGGAGCGATCAGTGGCGAGCACACGACGACTGGTCCCACTGGTCAAGCTGGTCCTGGTCAACTTCCTGATGATCAGTTGCTGCGGTCCGTCTAATTTTAATTCATGCCTGCTTGGTCACGTTTGTGTGAGGTCAAGCCCTTGTTGCAATGCTAGTAATGTTGAGCCTTGGTCTTGGTTTTTCTACCCAGAATAAGTGACAGGTCTATTCAGAAATAATTGCGACCTTGCAGCATGGCGGAATGGCCGGAATTTACGGCGAACGACGTAGCCGTGCAGCCGCCAGTCATGAAGAAAAAAAATGCACCTCTGCTGCCTCGGGGCTGCCTCACACAGAGCGCTGTAGCAGTTCATGCCACCATTCGAAAAGCATGCTCCACACGCCATCATTTGCCCTTTGTGTTTGCCAGGTGGGTATCTCGAGTTCCAGGCGATCACTTTGGCCACACGCTGGGCGCTGGGAATCAGTTGTGCTGGACGCAGCTCGAGCTGTCGTGAGCATGGTGACTTGGTTGTGTTCATGTCCAGGCATGATGTTATAACTGGCTAATTACTTCGAAACAACATTTCAGGTCAACACACAGCGCGACAGGTTTATAATCACACGCTAGAAAGAGATCCTGCACCACACGCACGCTCGCATTCTACAACTGGTGCCAAGAACGCACCAAAACACCGAGCGCTGCCATTTCTTTTTGCACGCTTCAAAAAAGCAAGTTCTTGTGGGTGTTCACTCATTTCACAAGCGAGCCAGATGAAATTTGCAGCAATGCCACAACAGCGTCAATTCTCTGCGCGCTGGGCCGGCCCCACTCAGCCCAGCCTGTTGCAATACAACGCCGACGCGGCGCACAGCTCGCAGCAGCGCCGGTCCGACAATGTGTCTCTGGAAAAGCGCCAGACCAGCACCAGCAAGGCGAGGCCCAACTGGACAAGCAACCCAGCCAGCCTCAAAGCCAGCAAGGTCTGTAGACCCGGCTGGCCTCAAGGCCCAACTGAGGGACAAGCAACCCAGCCAGCCTCAAAGCCAGCAGGGTCTTACAGACCCTGCTGGCCTCGAGGCCCAACTGGACAAGCAACCCAGCCAGCCTCAAAGCCAGCAGGGTCTTGCAGACCCTGCTGGCCTCGAGGCCCAACTGGACAAGCAACCCAGCCAGCCTCAAAGCCAGCAAGGTCTGTAGACCCCGCTGGCCTCAAGGCCCAACTGGACAAGCAACCCTCAAAACCAGCAAATTCAAAAAATGGCTTGGTCAAAGTGGCACTGGTCATGTCAACGTGGCAAGCAGAGTAACATGCAGATCTTTGCAGTACATGTTCGTTCCTGGGGCAAGAAACGGTGTCTAGCATTGGCCCGGAAAATTCGTAAAAATGTGCCCCTTGAGCTTGCTATATTTGGATGTTAATTTACATCAACATGCAGATTCACAGGCACCCACAGACAGGCAACCATTCACACTACCACACACATGCGGCATTGTCAGACATTGAGTCACATGACCACGTAAACCCACACACACACACCCACACTTACACTGCGCGCCCACACACGCACCCACACACAAACACAGACACACACGCACACGCGCACGTGCACGCACAGACACACACACACACACACACACACACACACACACACACACACACACACACACACACACACACACACACACACACACACACACACACACACACACACACACACACACACACACACACACACACACACACACACACACACACACACACACACACACACACACACACACACACACACACACACACACACACACACACACACACACACACACACACACACACACACACACACACACACACACACACACACACACACACACACACACACACACACACACACACACACACACACACACACACACACACACACACACACACACACACACACACACACACACACACACACACACACACACACACATGCACGCACACACACACACACACACACACACACACGATCAGCCTGGTAAGGCATGACAATCATTAGTGGAGGCCGCTGAGGCTCTGGCCAAGGCCCAGGGCGGCCGCAGCAGCTTGTCTACTGCTGGGAACCGGATTCTTAACCAACCTCAATAGATTGTCACTGTATACCATATATATATATAATATAATATAGGTTATTATATATATTAGTATAGTATGTATATAAGCATACAATATAGTATACATGTATATTATAAATATAGGCCACTTGAGCCAAACAGCCACGAAGGGTTAGCCGAAGGGGGGGGGGTACCACGAACCTAGGCGAACGCGAGCCGGTGATCCCGACTTAGTGGTGACCCCCGTCGTTTGGCCCTGATACTGTAGTTGCTTGTTCCTTTTCTTGTTAAGGGGCTTGGTCAAACCACCTTTGCCAGGATCAATATAGTGCTTGTTCAATTCGAGGATGACGTCAAATCATCATGCCCTTGGACAACAAAAGTGGGTATTTGGAGTATGAGTCGGGGGCATGTTTCTTTAAGGGGTACCAGGGTCTGGTTATTCAAGCCCAGTGTTGCCCAACCCTGGGCCGCCTGAAACCCGGGATGTGCCAAATCAAAGGGCAACCGTACGTAACGGATCCTGACTTCCCGTTGGTGACTAGGTTCGGAAACTTGCTTACTTTTTTGGTTTCAAGAGAAACCAGGCTTCGGAACAAACTTGGCAAGCGAAATCTGTTAAGCGGCGATATTGTGCCAATAAGGTAGTTTGCAAGGACAACCTGGTCCGGAAATTGGTGAGCCCCTTTGCCGGGATGTTGCCCGCGGTGCGTTTTGCAGTACAAATCCCTCTTAAACTATGATTATAGTAGCTTACCTGACGCAAGTAAATGGCCACAAACTCAGCAATCCGAATCAAACGCCCCAGTAAGCGGGGACACCATCCACCATGATCCCTCCTTGTGTTCCGAAGAAGCCAACAGGCAATCAAGCCATTGCCGTGCCAGTCGCATTTATGTCCACCCAAAAACCAGCCGAAAAGAACCATTGACCTAGGCCAAAGTTTCAGCCCTCCCAGTTCGGAGATGGAGCTGGTTGACCCCTAGAGTTCCTCATTCATGATTCTAATGATGCTAACCATGGAGAGGCTTCGGTTTGTGATCATGTCCTGAGTGAGTCAGAAAACCTCCCTGGATGTTTGGCATGCACCCCTGAAGTCCCGAACCTCGTGGGTTTGTCGAACCCAGCTCCCCTTGGGCATCCCCTTTGAACTGTGGATTCACGAAATCCTGCGCTCTGATACCATGGGACACCATTGTTTCTTGGTATTTACAGGGGATCATCGAACCCCGGGCTTCTTAGGTGCGAAATGGATTTCCTCCATCACTATTCTGCACCCAGAAAATCCGCGCAACGGGCCCCTTGGCCGCCGGGCGGTTCCCCAGCGTCCAGGAGCCCCCGAGGACCGCCGCTTTCTCGAGCACCGCGCAGCCCAGGCCCAGCCGCTGCAGCCGCCGCGCCTGGCGGATTGGCCCAGCGAAATGGGTCTGTGTGTTCCAACCTGACGGACGAAAAATCCATTTCGCAGCACCTGGGGAAACCTCGGATTCTGATTCGATTCCCCTGCAAACAACAAAGAATGGCGATTAAACCATGGTTTCAACCTGATGCGAACGGATTTGGGTGTGGGTAAAAATGAAAGAGCCAGAGTTATGGTTTTAGTCTTTGGTTCCATTTAAGGTGCAATTTTGGGACATCTTTCTGAGCCACAGCCAAATGAACAGCCTCCCTTGACAAGGGTTTCGACACTAGCAGGGGGGCTGCTGATGTATCCCACAAACAGTGTAAAAGGCAAGCCATGCAAACTATGGCCGCAGTTTGGATAGAAACTGGTTGGTTGCACACCTGGGAGTTCACTTTTCCTTCGGTCCCCAGTATTGACGATGGGCAACTGGGAAATATCGTCTTTGTAGTGGTGTTCCCCAAATCCCATGTAAAGGATCTTTTAATCAACCCCCACCTACTAAGCCGTAGGAGGATTCGAACTCTTTATGCTGCGGCCAACGTGTCCGATCGGCTGCACATGGGCAAGCGCTGGCAAGAGGGTCCACAAGGAAAAACCAAAGGAGTAAACAAAAGAAACGCTGAAAAAGACACAAACAAATACAAAGAGAAGAAGGGAATCCTTTTCCATTTGGAGAACAGCACCCCCCTTGTACGGTAGATGTTTTGACAGCTTCGAAGGGACAACCAAAAGATATTGAGTATCTTTAGTGAACCACATCTTCGGAAACGTTTGGCCCATCCTTGGTAAGCTCCTGACCCTAAACTGGAAATGAGGGCCCCCTGATATATATGATGTTCAATTCACCAAAGAATCCATGAGAAGCGCATAAAAAGTGCCCCCTTAACTTAAAGGATGATGAGCCAGCGTTATACAATACATGTCCTATGATCCTTGCTTGATTTGGCAATAAAGTTCCCCACAACTCCTTGGAACAATGAAGCCCTGATAGCGGGGGTACCCCCTATACACATATATATAATAAAATTTGGCTCAAAAGCACGGCTGCTGCGTGGACACCACAAAGTCCACGGGGGGAATCATGTTTTTTTGACTGAAGGGGGTAAATCCCCATGTTCAACTCGATTTTCTGGAAGAAGGATCCCTGGCAAGAATGCGAACGACTAGAAGCTGTGGGGTGCCGGATCAAGTTCTCGGATCCCGCCGCAAAGGCTACCTAGAGGCCGAAAACACTTAGAGCCCAGACTCCGCTCATTGGGGGAAACCAAAGAGAAGCCATACTTCTTAGGGGCTCCCCTCTGGTCCAGAGGCAACCTTTCCAGTCCAGGACTCTGCGTGGTAACTGCCCGCGAGGCTCGTTCTGACGCACTGCCTCTGGTAGAATATGCAAGAAAGTGATTGGCAATCCAAGCAAGCCCCAAAACCATGGCCCTCCAAAGCCATAGTGTTTTGGGCATCCGTGCAACGTTACATAGACGCTGATTTCACTTTTGCTGTTGGTTTGATTCCAATGTGTTGACGATCCGTGTTGGTGTTGGGCGCGACATCCACATCTGGCTTCGACATCTAAATTTGCGACTTGAAGAGGCTTCCGGAACCCAAGAGTAATCAAAAGAGAACGTGTCCTTCAAAATGTCCGCTGCACCAAAGGGCTCATTTGGTACATCCTCACAAGGTAAAGAACGTTCAAAAGAGTAGTCTCAAGGCAAAAAACAATCTTTGCGAATCCCTCAACAATACTTCCATGTTGGACATGTTGTCATGTCGGCCTGTAAGTTGGACATGAGCCATAATCAGAACCCGGTATTCAAGTTCGGATGGCGGATCTCGGGGCCCCGGCCGCCGCGAGGCCGCCGAAGCCGGCCCCCAGCACCAGCACGGGGCCCTGAGATGCGCTGAGGCGGTCCGCTTCCCGGGGGATCGATCGCGCTCGACACGTGTGGCGTCCGGGGGCGTCAAGTGAGTCGTCCGCGGTTGGCTTTGTGTAACACTATGTGACAAGCAAACATGTTTTTTTTTTTTAAATGGGGATAAGTTAGTGATTAAACCTTTTAGGATGTATAAACGTCTATATTCGTTTAAAGGTACGGCTGGGAACCTAGCTGCAGTCTCAGTCAAGGCCTGAGGGCTGCTCAAAAGACAAGGGTCACTGTGTTGGACCCTCACGCCCTGTACGTTTCCCTTGAGAGGGGTTCAGAAAACGGGTTCAGCAAAAAGTTTGCCGCTTTGTCGACAACCGTCACAGGCTCAAGTCAGTTACGTGCATAGAGGTCACTAGAGGTTTCCTCGATCTTGATCACATGCCCTTCCCCAACCATCAGACATCTTTCCTAAATATTAGCGGCCCCCTCTCCTGTCCCTTTGGCAGGGCAATTCGGCGGTTCAGTATTGCCTTGGCATGGCCTTATTTCAGTTCAGTATTGGGTGATTGGGGGGCGTGGGAAACACATGGTTCATTGTACATCTGGGAGAGCTTTGTCGTTGGGGGGAGGACTACTTGGATGCTCAAGCTGGTTGCGAAGTAGATTAAACTAAGGACAGCTAATACATACATATATATATATGAGGAGCGGACGAAACACTTTACTTGGCCCTAGTACTTTTTTGAACGTTATCGTTTTTGGGGGAGACCTTATCGTTTTACAGTGTTTTCGAGCTTTCGCAGATCCGGCTCTAACAACGCAACTTTGTAGTACAAGGCTAGTACGCGAAGTACACTTCCGCATCTCCAGCTCGAAAATCGCAACTTTGTAGTACAAGTCTAGTACGACAAGTACACTTCCGCATCTCCAGCTCGAAAATCGCAACTTTGTAGTACAAGTCTAGTACGCGAAGTACACTTCCGCAGCTCCAGCTCGAAAATCGCAACTTTGTAGTACAAGTCTAGTAAGCGAAGTACACTTCCGCATCTCCAGCTCGAAAGTCGCAACTTTGTAGTACAAGTCTAGTACGCGAAGTACACTTCCGCAGCTCCAGCTCGAAAATCGCAACTTTGTAGTACAAGTCTAGTACGCGAAGTACACTTCCGCAGCTCCAGCTCGAAAATCGCAACTTTGTAGTACAAGTCTAGTACGCGAAGTACACTTCCGCAGCTCCAGCTCGAAAATCGCAACTTTGTAGTACAAGTCTAGTACGCGAAGTACACTTCCGCAGCTCCAGCTCGAAAATCGCAACTTTGTAGTATAAGTCTAGTACGACAAGTACACTTCCGCATCTCCAGCTCGAAAATCGCAACTTTGTAGTACAAGTCTAGTACGGGAAGTACACTTCCACAGCTTTCCAGCTCGAAAATCGCAAGTTTGTAGTAACAGTCTAGTACGCGAAGTACACTTCCGCAGCTCCAGCTCGAAAATCGAAACTTTGTGGTGCGAGAAGTATACTTCCGCATGTCCAGCTCGAAAATCGAAAAATTGTAGTGCAAGTCTAGTACGCGAAGCACACTTCCGCAGCTCCAGCTCGAAAATCGCAACTTTGTAGTACAAGTCTAGTACGCAAAGCGCACTTGCACAGCGTTCCAGCTCGAAAATCGCAACTTTGTAGTACAAGTCTAGTACGCGAAGTACACTTCCGCATCTCCAGCTCGAAAATCGCAACTTTGTAGTACAAGTCTAGTACGCGAAGCGCACTTCCGCAGCTCCAGCTCGAAAATCGCAACTTTGTAGTACAAGTCTAGTACGCGAAGTACAATCTAGTACGCGAAGTACACTTCCGCATCTCCAGCTCGAAAACCGCAACTTTGTAGTACAAGTCTAGTACGCGAAGTACACTTCCGCAGCTCCAGCTCGAAAATCGCAACTTTGTAGTACAAGTCTAGTACGCGAAGTACACTTCCGCATCTCCAGCTCGAAAATCGCAACTTTGTAGTACAAGTCTAGTACGCGAAGTACACTTCCGCATCTCCAGCTCGAAAATCGCAACTTTGTAGTACAAGTCTAGTACGCGAAGTACACTTCCGCACCTCCAGCTCGAAAATCGCAACTTTGTAGTACAAGTCTAGTACGCGAAGTACACTTCCGCAGCTCCAGCTCGAAAATCGCAAGCTGGTAGTACAAGTGTAGTACGCGAAGTACACTTCCGCAGCTCCAGCTCGAAAATCGCCACTTCTGTAGTACAAGTCTAGTAAGCGAAGTACACTTCCGCATCTCCAGCTCGAAAATTGCAACTTTGTAGCACAAGTCTAGCACGCGAAGTACACTTCCGCAGCTCCAGCTCGAAAATCGCAACTTCTCAGTACAAGTGTCGTATTTACGAAGCACACCTTGGCAGCTCCAGCTCGAAAGTGGCGACTCGCCTTCTCGTTTTACGGTGGCCACGCAAGGGTCCCACCCTAGCTAAGTTGCAACTGCAGGGGTTATTATAGAGCCGTGTGTTCGCTAAGGGTTATCGTTTTTGGGGGAGACCTTATCGTTTTCCATGGTTTTGGCATGTGCTATGCAAAAACGTACCCCGCCTTGATAAAGTGGTCTTCGCGTGTTTTGTCCGTGGCTCATATATATGTATTCATGTATACATAAACTTGTGTATATATAGCTTTGTTTTCTCGAATACACCAACCAGTTGCCTCGCTTCCAGGCATGCGAGATACCACAAACTCAGGTGAAACATCCAATTGCGGGGCAATCACCTGGTCCTACGACCTTCCTCCTTGAACACCATCTGCGATCTGGGCGAGCTCTCATCCAGCCGAAGCAGCTGGAGCTGCTCTCGTGCACTTGTTCCAGGATTTGGTCTGTGGGCACAGCTCAGGGGTATCCGGAGCAACATCGGCTCAAGGCTGGATTCCTAATATTGCCACCAAAATACCCTTTGAGGACTCTTTTTGAGTTGAGGAATCAAGAGGGGCTAAAGTTCTACTGGTACCCCTGCTGCGGTAGATTCCTAACAATTGCAAGTCAACCAACTGCTTCTAAACACAAAACCCTGGTACATTGCAGAACCAATACCAGATGTTCCTCGTTCAATATTTAGGGCATCCCTTGTACCCTCCCTTAGGCTAACATGGATCGGCACGAGTGTCCCATCAAGAAGTATCCAAGCACCCTCCCACATGTGCTAAGTGAGTGGGATGACACTTCTGATGGACAACGCAGCAAGGCCAAACCACTACCCTTTCTGCAGCCTCTCCTGTGCGAAAGAGAACGGAAACTGGTCAGTGGCTCTTGAAACATGTTGTAAGCAATCCTGGCAACGAGCTTCCTGTTGCGCATATCAGCTCTCCCTGGGTCGACAACGATGGGTCCACTCATGTTGACAACTGAAATGATGTTGGAAAACCTTCCAAACTGATACGGGTTTGCGTTCTTCACTTGCAGGAACCTGGTCAGAAAATCCACAACAATCGGCACCAGCTGACATTGGTTTATCAAGGGGTTCATCCATCCCAAACTGGTGCGAAATGGATTCTGACCATTCGCAGTACGCATGATGCCGCTTGCGCGGTTCCAGCCCTCTCTAGGCGTTGAGCACAGATCGGAAGCATAACTGTTAAGAAAAGAAGGGAATCCCTTCCCTTTAGGAAAGAAGGGAACGGCTTTGCAGCATTGCCATCCTCGGGTTTGTTCAGCCTGAGGAAGCCAACAGCCCACGCCTGGGCAAGCTGCGGCTGGACAGGCGCAACTGGCCCGGTCGCGGCTGCTTGTTGCGCGCCTGCGGCACATCCCGACGGGGCAGCCCACCCGTTGACGTGGTATCTGGTTGGGTGTCCCTTTTACTTTGAGTAGGAATCATCCCTTCCAACCATAGAAGCCACAATGTCCTTGTTGGGAATGGAACGTGGTAGAAATCCTACGCTCCGCAAAAACAAGAGAGTAGTCAATATTCCTCTTGGCGGTTTGAATTAGGTGGTTTCAAGGTTAGGGGGTACTCTCCCCTTTGCCTTCATCTGGAACAAACTGAAAGGGTTGCCTGCTACTAAGCATACGAAGGTCATGTTCAGATCGCAAGATTCGAGAAACAAACAATATTGGCAGTGTGCCCGGTGGAAGCAACAAGGCTGGACAGATGCAAACACACACGCACACATGACATCCACACCTCATCAAGCATTAGGCTATCCCTGGAAGTCCTTATTCGGAACGACCGTTTTTGGCCAGTAACAGCCGTTTGTGTAATATAGCATTAATTTATTTATTCTATAGCCCTCCTGGCAATAAGATGGCTTTTTGGCCTCAAGACAGTCGCTTTAGCTATGACATTGAGGGTTTTGGGGCAACGCTGCGAGTCAAGTGTTTAAACATATGTTTGAATAATTCACATCAAGTTTACAATTAGTGCTGTTTGCGCTGATGCGCATTTGTGACAGCATCACAGCTGAATCCCAGAATCCCAGCTGAACCGACCTTTGAACTCCAATATCTGTAAGGGTATCGCGCAACTGAGAATGCCCAAGTTTGCATTGCAAAATAGGCACCAAGTGAACGATGGTACAGTAGTGTATTGAGCGTAAAAGCCCGAAGCAATTTGCAGCGGATAGTCAAATAATTCAATCTCGCTATTTGACGACTGTAGAAGCTATCCTTCTGAACATATTGCAACAACAACTCGTGATTGAAAATACCTTGCTGTGCTCTAGTATGAACAGTCCTGAAAATTAGCGTGAAACTATCGGGAAATCGCAGTAAAACTACCGTGAAACACAGTTTTTGGCCGTGAAAGACTGTTTGTGGTTTTGGCAAAAAATACAACATGCCGGGTAGACGCAACAAACAACAAACACTATATAAATTATGTTTTGATAGCTTTAATGTTGGTTCGCACAGATCTTGGCGGTGGTCTCAGGCAAAGTAGTTTTGATTGTTGGCGCATCAATTACGTGCGCACCTGCAAAGCAAACAGCCGATGTGGATGTTTTGTGTAGGCTTCAACTCTGTGCAGCAGGGCGCCCTTCTTAGCTTCTGCACCTCATAGCCGGTTTTTTGGCTAGCTCACAACAAATCCAAGCTCAATCGTATGGCTGGTTTGTTCTGTCATGTTGGCATTAAGCAATTTGGTCCAAGGCCAAAGCGTGATTTATGATTTGTTGCATGCAATCGTGCAAGAGATTGAGCGTCTTAGCTGAACCCAAACTTAATATTGGGCAATGGCAAGGTCCACGCCTCTACCTGAATTTGGCAGCTGTGTTTTGCAGCAAGCTTTGAACCATACAACACATCGTCTTAGAAGAACCGTCTTTCTATAACACACCGTAATAAATACCTCCTTTGCAATCCCAGGGCTTTGTGTCATCCGGATGCTTCCCATTCTGATTCAATTCGGATTTTGCGCCCATCGTTTTCATGGCCAAAGAAAGCCGCGGGCTGGGCCAATGATTGAAACTCTTTAGATGGACTATGTCTCCAGCAATATGGCTGTGGGCCAAAACCCATGGGATCCCACTTTGGGGTAGGTGAATTCACTACCCATCCTCTATTTTAGTGGCTGGATGTGGCTGGACTGGTTGATGTATTTGGCTTGGCGAAGCTCCCAGCTTCGGGTTCCGTGCGCCTGCCAAGTCCCTGAGGATGGGCAGATCTTGGCCCAGCTGCGCCTGACGTTTCGGGAGCGGTCCGTCAACTCGCTTCGCTTTTAGGGAAAGAAAAACCTTCGCCTTCGGTTGCCCCAAGAGAAACCACGAAAAAGAAACAACCGCAAAGCCCGTTTTACCCCCGCCCCCAGAAAGAAACAGCTAGAACAACAAGCAACAAAGCAGTCTTTAATGACAATGAGGAGTTGAAACACCATATAGGGCGCCGGACCCCTATGTAGCCGCCCTGGTTCAGCGGATGTACCCACATGTCCATTTGTCCATTTCCATTGTCCAGCAGCCAAATACATTTTCAGTTGCTCAGAAACCCCTCTACTACACGTGCCAGGGAGAATCATTTCCATTCAGAATGCAGTTGGCCGCTGCTCAAACGAGGTCTGTTTGAACTCCGAACACAAATGCCCATCCAAGGGGGTAGTAAAGGCCGCCAAGCGGAAACACAGTAGGATCAATATGATTCACGGGGATTTCACAACGGGACCGCGCTACCTGCGGCCTGATTCCCTGATTCACACACTTGGCCCTGACCACCAGTGTTGAAACATTATGCTTGATTCAACATCCTGCCCTTTTCAAGGGGCCATGTCCTGTTCGGAGATAGGTCAACGTTCATGCCCAAACCTCGGATTCAAGCCTTTCCTTTCATAACTTTATTGACGCTCAATGCTCACTAATCTTTACCCAGTCTGAGCACCCGAGGCTTATCTGAACCAAATTCAAGCTCTGAGATCGACTTCCAGACTCCGCCTGCAGCTGTGGCCACTGGACGTCTGCGAGAAGCAAGGGCTCCTAGCGGTTTAAATAAGGCCGGGCACGGCATGTCTCAAACCGGGTGCTGGACGCCACACACACACACACAAATGCGAAATTTGGTGAGGGACTTCAGTTTGAGGTAACTGATTGCCATCAGCCCTCACAAGCTTCCGATATACTGGGGATGTCGATATGACACAAATGTGAGACCTATCAAGCTCGGACTTTGTGGGTGCAGGCTTGCCGGCAGCCTTTCCCGCACAGACAGGCGAGTGAAACCCCCACAAACCCGTGCGACATCAATATGTCTGGGACCAATGATATGTCTGGGAAATACTCGGAGCAAGCAACCAACAACAGGCACCTTCAACTGAACGCCATGCGCCAACTTCAGAGATGAAAGTAGCATTCCTGGCAAAGCTTCTGATCCAGCATGAACCAGATGCAACATCTGAGACAGCCAGCCATCAGTTTAGTGGACATCTGCTTAGAAGTGGAGATCTATCCATCTCTCTTTCTGTCTACTGGTGATGTCCTCTCTGTCTATCTTCCTATCTACCCGTCTACCTATCTATCAACCATTCGTCATGGGCAGCATCCCAACTGCCCCATGCCACCTGTCTTCGCTATGTTCAACACACGCCGCACTTTGCGATTGGAAACATCAGATTCTGTGTTGCTTTAACCCATTCAAAGTCAGGGGAACATGGGGACCCTTGTTGGCCGAAACTAGGCGAAGTGACCCTAGATCCCGAAGCCAGTCTTGATCAACGTTCAACACCAGCACGATGATTTCAATAGGTGCAAGTCTCTGCCGTGTACGTAGTGCAAAGATAAAAGATGCAAGACGCCCGACATGAACCCTGAAGTGAAGCTCTCTGGAGGATATCCTCTTTGGGCTCCAGGTTTAAAGCAAGCCGCTGCCGGAAAATCAGCGGCGCCGGCGGCCTTCCGTCATAACCGCTGCCCCGCTTGCCCGGTCCGGAGGCACCAGGAAGGACTTCAGGAAGGCAGCGCCTGAAAAATCGAGCGTCTCAGCTTTTGCTCCAGGAGCGTTGGTCATTGCGATGTCCAGTTCCTGTCATTTTTGGCGTTCCGGGTAGGGCGAACGCCTAGCTTGCTGTCGTCTTCGTTCTTTAAGTACCCGTCAACATAGGGAACCCTGCCTTTGGATGGTGTTCATGCGGAAGCAAAAGGAGTAAGTGTGGAGCGTCTGATTCCGACATTAGGACACACTCTCGCACGACATGCAGAAGTCTTCTGGACAGTTTGGAGGGAAACACAAGTGTCAGGGATCAAAATGCAGTATGTGACCCTCGTTTGTTTGTCCGTTGATCCTTCTTGTTCAGAAACGGCTTGAAAAGAAGGCCACCAAAAAGCATATTGTCAAATGTATGTTTGATTAGCAACGGAGGCTATGATTACAGTTTATTCACCCTGGTTCACTTGAGAGCGTGAAGCACGTTAAAACATGGCGTGTCCCTTCAATATGGTGGAAGACGGTGAATGTTGAGTGTCGCTCAACTCATGTGCGTGAATGGTTTCCATTGTCAGCTTCAAAGACATCCATTGGGATTCATCCAGCCAGTCACGTCCTGGTGAATACTGTGATTGCGGACAACTTGTGCAGAACGAAACTCCACCTTCCAGCATGTGAGTCATTATTTTGCGTCTTTGCAGCCCTGTAGAAGAACCAGAGAGAGCAACGAAACGAACGAACGAACCAAGAAGCTTCTGCGCTGCGCCTTTCAACGAGACTGTGTTTCTTCTTGGCTCACACGAAGTCAACCTCAGACTGAGCTCCAGGCAAAGCTGCATGGGCAGCTCCCGGATGGCCGACACTGCACTCGCCTCAGGTTTGCAAGCGTGCTGGCCGGGCAAAAGTGCTGACTGCCCTTCTCGGACCTGGAAAAAGCTTAGCCTGCCTTGACTAAAAGTGGACCAAACAGGGGGGAATCAAAAGGTGAAAAGGTCGGCCTTGAGCAATTGAGCTTGGAATTTGCAAGTGGCGCTGGTTGAATGATCACCGGCTTCAGTCGAATCTCATCGACAAGCTGAAAGGACGCGTATGCGATGGTTGGGGAGCCTGAACCCTCTGACATCAACATAAAGAGCTGGATATGGGTGTTTGTCAAACTTGCGCCCTGAAAGTGGTTGGTTTGCTGTCGGCTTCTTTCTCGCATCCGAAAAATGAAGTCCTGTTTTAAATACAATAACCCCGCATATTGACATGCTCAAATTTCGCAACAATGTCAAAGTCCAATGATGGCATTAATGTGTAGGAACACATGTGTTGAAGATCCCAAAGTGAAAACGGCGAAAGCCCTCAGAACATCATTGACAGCATTCCCAATTGTAGGCGGCTCAAAAAACAAGCTTGAACACTCCTTGCATACACTTACACGGTCCACAAACAGAGCAACTCAATGCAACCTGTCTGTACAGGCCATGTGTGCTGCTTTGAAGTAACGCCAAAAGGATATCGCCTATGGTGGGGTCCCCCTTTTCAAACATTCCGAATCCCCAAGTCAAAGGCTTTGTGCATTGCATCCGGCCAACTTCATTTAAACGCTGGAAGTGGCTTATAAATCTGCCAAATGGCAGCAATGAAGTAGTGCAAGTCTGAATGGTGAGAATATGTTGCTCCCACAAAGGACATCACGTGGTATTCTGGGAAATAGTGCAAGTCCCCACATGACTCAGCCTCGTCAGATGTGAAAACCAGGAATCCGTCTGGTTCGAACGGAGCCGCCGTGGAGACCAACTTGGAGGGTCCAAAGCCGTCAATTCTCGCAAAAGGATATGTTCACCTGCGAGCATCGCGAGACAACACATGATAATAGCGCTTGCTTCCAGTAGACAATGGAAAATCGTGTAGGGCTTGGTTTGTGTGCGTGCAAAGGTCAATGCCTCCTGCGCACGTCGTTGCCAATTCATGTAGTGCTAACGGCATGCACCTGATGATGCACCCCTTGCATTGCACCCCAATTTTAAGGAAAGCCAGCCCCCTTTTGGGCTACGTAGTTTAGATTGGCAAAATCCAGTTTGCACCAGTTTGGTGGTTTATGAACGAGTATTTCTCGTCCAACTGGTGCCAAACCGCGCGGGTTTTGTCAACAAACAGTACCACATAGAGATGGGTATTCTCAAAATCCTGGTCTCCTTTTGGGATGGCATTAAGAGGAAACCAAAGGGAACCGAGCACCTAATTGCAGGGATCGATCCCTAATTTTGAGAACCCTACATGCCATTGTTTCCCCTGTGGCCCGCGCGTATCTTAAGGGGCGCTTCGCATTCGAGCCCACCTCCGCCACGCGGGAAAACCTCAGGCGAGCAGTTTGGGTGTACTTTTGTTGGGTTGGTACGCTTTTGACCGTGTTTAGCGGGAAGCCAACATCAAAGCCTCCATTCTAAGAGGGCCCGGATGCATATCTGTTGGAACCTGCGAGCCATAGAATGATAGCTGCCACTCAGGGTCTACGTACTTGGTGGGAGTTTCAGGTGTGCCCCATTTTGCTCATCCCAAGAAAAACTCCAGGCCATCCAGACCCAAAGGACCCAATTAAAACGTCAGGCAAGCAAGCACAAGTTGGCGAGAAGTGCATGTGTAAACCTTGAATATACAAACCCTCAATTCCCAGACCATCCAATTGAGACTACTTGACCACGGTAACCTTGAAACTGGCTCCGTTCAAGATTTCTATATACTGGACCAGACGTGGTGGATAGTGCCCTAAACATAGCTAAACATGGCTGGTGACCTGTTTGCAAACAGCCAGAATGGGGTGCCCAATTTGCAACCACAATTTGGGCAAACAACAACTAGTCCAATTGACTCATCGTGCCTAAGTGGCTCGAAACCCAAACCTTACCCCCTGCAAAGACTCTCTGAACACCCATATATATCTTGGGCTACTATATAACCCTTTGGCCAACCCTAGGATCACTTTCTGAGTGGAGTGGCCAAAGAAACCTGTTGCTTACCACACAAATCGTTTTGAGAAAAAAATAGACTGTCCAGAACTCAGGAAGTCAGCAGGCCATTCGGTTATAACTAGGGCTATCAACCTTTGACTCAGACTATTTGGTATCCATCACCCCATCCAAGTACCCTGCACCCCAGAAGCTTATTGTGTCCTGCCCTTGCAAATTTCAAGCAAAATTCCCTCTCAAGTGGGACTCCAACCAGTAAGTAAAACTAACCACTTGGGCAAGGGTGGTAGCTGCACCGAGCGACGTCAGGTTTGGGATGGCTCAGCGTTTACGAGCGGGAATTGGCCTGTTTGGTGCTGAAGGCAAACTGGCTCCTTCCCTATATAGGTCGGCCCGGCACTTTTCATGCATCGCAGAACAGGTAGTCTTTTGCCACCCAAAGCACAGGTACCCTCAACACGAGCCCAGCGAGCTCTGGGCTTCCCGACTGGAGCACCGCCCCCGCTTGGCCGCTGGACCGGCGCACCACAACCAGGCCCTCCACCAGGCAGTTGGCTGCCTGACGAGAAGGCGGTGAGCATATTAGGCGTGTCAAAATAAGTCCAAGAATGGCGGCGTTGCCTTTAGTTTCCTTTGTACGAGCTTCAAAGGGGTACCCGCCCATAATATGAATATTTTTGAAGAGGGAAGCCTCGGTTCAAAGTGGAATTCCACCATCCCCTTTTGAATCAATCAAGGGTGGTATCACCCCTGGGAAGAGCTAACGGAGGTTCCCCACTTTGAAAAGGGTCGTCCTGGACTTGCGCGGGACTTGCGCGAAAGGTTGTTGAGTGTTCAGCCAAAACGCCGCCCTTCCTCTTGTGTACAAGCCTGGCTTGCAAGGGGGGAAAAAACCAGTAGACAAGCGTGGCTCACAACGAAAAAAGAAAGAAGAAAAAACAAAAAAAAGGAAACCGGTTGCAAGTGCTGCGACTTCAAGCGGGTGGTTGTAATTAACAGGCAAGTGAGCTGTCTTTACTGTCTTTGGCGCAACTTGCCCTGGACTTGTGCTTCCTTGCGCCAACTCATGTTGAACGTGCGCTGCTGGTCTTGCAGCACACCCTGATACTTAAACTCTACGCTGCATTGAAACAAAATTGCTCGGCCCAAAACAAATTGGGATCATCCCCGACATAGACACATACAGCAGGATTGCACAACTTGTTCGACTCACATGCGGCCATAAGCAAGGTGCTAATTGACCTCCAGTGGCCTGGGAAAAAAGCGGCACCCTTGTTCTGCACGTTGACTTTGAAGCGAATCCCCTCCAACGACGAGGAACCAAAACCACCGCTGGAGGTCTGGGTTGGATGACTAGAGCCTTGGCTTTTGAGCAGGCCCTTCTCGGTCTCGCAAGTTGGCATCGGTTTTCGATGTTCCCTGACGGATTCAAGCAAACACCGCGAGCAAATACAACCTGGCAGCTTGGAACAAGCATAGCGGCCGTCAACATGGTTTGCTTCAGCTTAGATTCCTTGTACACAAACAAGTTGAGTAACCCTCTTGTGCTGACGGCGATTGGTGCATACGCCAAAGCAAAGGCGTCTTTCTTGCCACGACTTCTTATCGAAACAGACTAACGAGGGGTCCATGCTTGCCGCACATGCATTTTCGGCACATGAACGGACTGCTCTTCTGCTAGGTCGCTGCAGCTCTGCATGGATCTGTGCCATTCGCCAGTTGGGTTTGGTGGTTTATCCCAGCAATTACAATTGGTAGTCGGTTTATCAACCAGCGATTATCCAATCATAACAATCCATTCCATTGTGCGAAGTGGCTTTGTCCAGCCACTGTACTTATTTGGGATCCAAAGCTCGTTGGGGGAAGTACCTCCCAAAGAACTCAACGCAAGTGTTGATCTATTGCATCAGAAAACGTCATACCTTGTACCCACAGTCACAAGCTATTTTCTCGGCATAAAATACTCAAATATGGAGCTGGCTGTTTGCTGGCAACGAACACGTCAAAATTACCAATATTGTCAGTACTTACGAGTGACCTGCTAAGATGATCCGGCCAGAAGAGCTAGACCGGTTCTTGGAGCTTTGCTGCAGAACGACGAAAACAAGCAAGTGCAAACAGTTGGCCAACCCAACAAGTCAGCCCTTCAGCGCGGAAAAGTGTGCTTGAGGTTAGTTCAGAGGGAACCAACCGGAAAACCACCTGCTTTGAGTTGAACCCCACCAGTTGTGTGGGCTTGCTGATATTGCTGACACATGCCGCAAATTTGCTTTCAGGCAGATGTTGCCCTTTTGTTTGGGCAGGAGGGGAGTTCAACGTGTGCCCTCCATTCCGTGCAGTCGGATTCGCCGACGAGAACTCTCGGGGCCGGGCGGCGATGGCGGAGTTGGAGCCCTGGCCAAGCCTCGTCTCTCTGAACGAGGTGAGGTAAATCGTGGAACTCCCGCAGGGGTTGGTTTAAAGGGTGCTGCCTCAAAGGGGGTTGGTTTTAAAGGGGGGTGGTTTTACAGGCGCTGGTTTTTATGTGGGGTTGGTTTAGAAGGGGCCGCTTTCGAGCGGGAAATCGTGAGTAAGCCCACTCCAGCCTGAAACCAACCCAGACCGATCCATATCGGGGTCCCACAAATGATGTTTGGGGCTCCACGTATATGGGTATGTGGCAAAAACGGGACTTGGAGCCCCAGGGATAGCGGGTTTTCCTTGTGGATTCCCTTTACACCAACCTCAAGAAGGGTACTCTCAACAAGACACAACCCTATGTATCCTCCGGTGTATGTCTGGGTTAGCCGTGTATTGCTGTATTCTTGACAGGAATTCTGGTCAATTTTCTAGGGTGTTCCGGTCCCCCAAACCAAAAACATGCTTTTTCAGGAACCATACTTTTTGTTGGGTTCCTTTTGCACGAACTAGTTTGCCCCCAAATCGCTCCATCGCTAGGCATCACTAGAGGAAGTTCGACAGACTAGCGATAACCAAGCTGATAGTGGCCCAATCCTACTCTGCACGCAACAACAAACCTGCAAACACCTTTGAGTTACATCTTGGGTCGAACCTGTCAAGCTAAAGTCGCTCAAACAAATGACACGGCTTGATCAGGGTGAGAGAACCTTTCAGGTACGCTGGCAGAGATGAAAGTGCCGGTTTATACAACCCCTATATGTCACATGTCTCTTTTCGGATGGTTTTTAGACCTCGCCTTTTGGCTCGTCCCTCCGGCAGATTACCAACATGTTGCACAAACAACCCACCCATGTTTTTTCAGGAATCTCCTTTTGAGGAGCCCCAGTTTTGGCCGAACAGTAATGCCGAAACTAAAAATCGTTTTTGTCCTTGCTGGCGCAGAGCATCACCCTGGGCTTTGGGGAAATGAACCAATGGATCCATAAATAGAAGCCACGGAGACTAACGTTAAACCTACCGGTTTTGCCCTTCTCTCACAATCCTGGAAGCGGAGAGGCCTTTCACGAGCATGGTATTCTTCCAAAATCCTGCTGTCCACTTGCATGATTCTTCTTGCGTGAGCCACCAAAGTCAGGTACATGTGCCCCAAAGGACATGGGACATTCTTGCGACCCCCCTTGTGTTTGATATTTCCGGCTCCTTTCCCTCGTCCCCAAATGGTCCTATGAAACTCGGACCGACCAAACCAAACGCTTGGTCCCCACACGCTGCATTCAGCGAGGTAATGGCCACGAAGGATTGAACGCCCCTGGCGAAGGACGCGCCGATGGATTCACCTGAATTACCCCAACTTTGGCTTAGGCTCGGTGGTTTGGAGTTTGGACGTTGAGTACCTTGTCCAGGCTTACCCGGGCTTGCCTCCAAACCAATCCAAGCCAGCAATTCAGGGCTACCTGGATGAGTGAGCCGCCCGTTGAAAAAGCATCTACGTGGGGGGGGGGGGGGGTTGAATCGATCTCATACGACCCACAGACTATATATTCTCTCCCAAGAGGACCTGGGAAATTCAGTTCTGGGCACCCGATATGTTCTCTTTAAACATCACCCAAAAGGGCACTCAGCCCAAGGTTGCTGCTTAAAACTACCACACCGGGAAGTATAGGATCCCTGATCTACCCGTTTTCCCAAAAAATGGTTCCATATGAAAAAGAACATCATTCGATCCTTCGGGAAGGTTGAAGATTGGACGTATTGCAATTCTAGGCTCTAAAAGTGCTTTCAAGCCAGAAGGGGAGCCAACGGTTGTAGCCTTGAAGGGTCCTTAGCCCCTAGGCACCATTAGTCAATAGCAACTGATAGCTGTCAGTGGCTCCCCTTGCTCTGAATCAGTGTAGGGGGTTGGGAGGGTTATGCCTTTTGTCACCAAACTGGGGAAATCGCTGCCCTCAAACAATTAACATGGGATGTACACGCCTAAGTCAAACGTGAATACGATGCGCATGACACCATGGGCTTTGGATTTTGTTGAGGCGTTTTGATGGAAGACATTTCAGCGGATGCGTGGCTTCCTTGAGCTGGAGCACGGTCAATCTATTTTTGTTGCACCGAAGGCATGCTTGATATCCGCTCAAAGAAAGCCACAAAACGAGGATGCATGTCCGAGAGGATACCACCCCTCATTAGGTTCCATCATACTCCTTGCCGGCAGAAATTGACCAGTGCTGTCTACTTTTTACCGGGGTGTAACACGACAAGCGCGTCCTCTCTTTCTGTCCTGGGTCAAAACCCACGTCGAACGTTCCCAAGCCGGAAACCACTCTCGACGCAACAGCCGCCTCTCGGCTCGGTGGAGGCTCCAAGCCCCGAGGCCACGAACCTGGGCGAGTGGCTGGCTGAGAGGCCCTTTGGAGCCACTCCAAAATCGGGTACCCCGCGAAGCAAACAAATGGCTTATGCCGACCCCAGGTTAATACACCCCGGTTTATTAATATGGGGGGTGTTCCACTCCAAAAGTGATAAATCCACACACACCCATATTAATACACAGGGGTTTATTAATCTGGGGGCAACATTATGTGGATATCTGAGTGACCCAGTGAACCCCAGACCCTCCTGACAAAACCCTAGGGTTGCTGATCATTTGATCCTTGAGCTGACCCCCGGCCACCTAAGTAGCACCAGAGGCCAACTGTGGTAGGAACCAACTGGGTGTAGGGAGCAGGCTTGCTCGTGCGGTGATTTGCTGTTAGGCACCAACGGGGCGTAGGGAGTAGGGGTGATTTTGTTGGTTTCCCATCAAACCCCATGACCCACTGTTTCATCTTACCTCAATTTGCATGCCCCTTGGCTGCCCATCAAGCCTCGACGTCGGGGCTAGCAGTCGTATCTCGCCCAATGCACAACCAATAATTCCCTGCATGGGTCATAAGCTCGGTTTAAGCTTGCTACAAATACTGTGGATGTCCGATCGCACCACTTTGAAACGTTGGAAATTCCAGGGTTTCTTAGGTGGTGCGGGAGTTCGTCCATCCACAAAAAGGAACCGTCTCTGAAACCAGATTGTGGTTAAATATGGTTGGCGGTTAGACCTCTGTAACACCACCTGTCGTCGCTCGGAGGGCTGTTTCAATCAGTTCGTAAGGGCGGTGCCCCGCGTGTGCAAATCCTGGGATGTTGTTCAAGAATCTGACAAGGAGCATTGGAAGAAATGGAGCAAGTACCAAGAAGGCCAGTTGTACCACCACTATCTGTGTAAGACGAATCTGGGCGTACCTCAGGAAACCGTCACCTTCAGGAGAGGCATACATGGGTGTGTCTTGTTCCAGGGGAACCCCCAAAATGGTGGTGGTTTTTTTGGCTTCCCTTTAAAACCATCCAAAACGGGGTACCTCCACCCCCCTCCACAACAAAACACACACACACACTCCAACATGTTTCCAATGAGGGAATCTAAAAAGGACCATTAACTAGTCCCAAGGCCTGCAAGGTTGGTGTTCATGCTGTCACTGGATTGGCAACCGGGCTTGTTCCATGTCCCTAATATGTCAACATTGAACCACGGAAAAGCTGGCAATGAGTCACGGACAGATGTCTGTCCAGTACAAAAGATCAGATATACGAAGCCCTGCGAAACTTCCCAGCAAATGTCCGTACATGCCCCACCCCATCAAAAGCAAGCTGGTTGCACATGGCTCAGACTGTGTTGTTTAAACCACCAAAGAGAGAACCCTCGTCGTGCAACCGATGCTTAAGTCTCCCAGAATGGAACCCTGGCCGTTGCGAGCCTTTCGCCTCCTTCGGCGCTATCAAAAGATGCGAAACTGGGCTCCAGTTCACAAGCAAGGCATGAATTCCCCTCCCACCAAGATGGAACCTGACAGGGACTCGGTCCCTTTACACGGAAAATGGTCTGTCAGGACCCCTGTCAGGTTCCATTGGTGGGAGGGCATCCCTGCCTGGCAATCCCGAACCCGTTTCGCTCTCTCCTCGCGGCGCGCGTCGTGGATTCGGCCCCGCCGCAAGCTTCGCAGGGCAGGGAATGACACTCCCGCACGCCGTTTCACCCGGAGCCGCGGAGCGAATCGAAACGTGCAATGTTGGACTCCAATGGCTGTTCGGGGCTCCCTAGGATGGTCCCCTGACAAACTAATATACTTATATATGTTGTGCATGTATGTATACTATATATATATATATGTATGGCATAAGTTTGTATTGCAACACATCATTTGTGCGTCATCTGCAGACCTGGAACTTGTTAAGCGCTACTAGAGGAAGCAGAGGAGCTAGCGGTCCGCACGAGCTTTTTAGGGGACCTTGGCAATCATGGGAAGTAAAGTTTTAAGTGGGCTCCGAAGCCAAACAAACAGCGATTCTAACAAATGGACTTGTCTCCAAATGGGGGAGACCCCCAAAATGTGTGGTGTCTCTTTGATTTCCCCTTGAAACCACACAAATGTTCCCTCAGATTCCAGGACCCACACCCAAACGGACTCTGAGCTGAAGGGCAAAGAAGCTTACCCCACGGGGGATGACGCAAGCTCCACAGCACCAGGCGCGTGGGGCGCAGAGCTTTGCGCGCCGTCGAATCCGCCGTCTGCAATCCCTCGGTGGACGTCCAGAGGAACTGCGAGGCAGATGACCCTGACCTGACCGCAGGTATCATCTAACCAAAATCGCAAGCCCGTGTGCATGTCGTAAAAACTCTCGCATATCCTTGTGTGTTTCTGGGCATAGCTTTTAGATTTGCTTCTGTCTCCAAATGAAGAAACATGTCGGAGTGTTTTGTATCGAAATCAGAGGCTGAAGCTAACCAAATGTCAGGAAACCCATTCCCACTTCCTGGAAACACACAAGTAAACCCCTGTTCACTGGCAGGGGGACACCGAAAAGGTGAATGATTTTGAGTGAACCAGAAACCACAGATACACATACCTCCCACATTGTTTGGACTACACAGGGCATCATCAAGAAACATGGCATATCCCAGTCAATGCCCCTGGTCACAGCCCATTGAAGGAACAAATCCATCTTCAACAGATTCGCCCAGAACTCAGAACCGTGAACAGACAAGGAGGATAAATTTACAAGTGCTGGTCAGAAAAACAAACAAAGAATTCGGCACAAACTCCAACAAGAACAAAAACGGGACCTGCTTCAGGCGGTTGGCTCAACCTCTGAAAAGCTCCCGAGCTCGTTTGGGTCCGGTCTTTCGCGAGGATCTCCGAACTATTGCGAACAGGAACCACGCAGTGGATGATTGGGGGCCCTTAAGATTTGAAAGAAATCAGAAGCCGTATTTGGATCATGGGTCTTTTCTTTGAGGGATTCGTTGCTTCCCCCCTGGGAATCTGGGTCAGGTCAGCTAGAAACGAATTCCGATGGGCCGTGTCAAATGCCAGCCTCGTTTGCGTGAGCCTCGCGGCTCAAATAAGAACATGAGTCTGTGCATGCCTCAGTTTTGTGAACCTTGCGAGCCATGATTTAATCGGTTGCAACCCCAGGTACAACGAAACTCAGGCGGCCAAGTTCTACCAACTGCACAACAGAAAACACATTGGCAAATTCAGAGGTTCTCCTGGCGGCCATTGCCTGCCTGCAGGGCAACAGAAGTGAAGCTCAGTCCAGTGAGAATCGTCCAGAGGCCAACGTAAAGCTTCTTGATTTCACTTTACGGATCTGTTGTGAAGTTGTGTAAATGGGAATCGAAGAAAACCGACAGGCGTTGCGATTCTCGAAGCACATACATGCAACAAACAAGCGAGCAAGCCAGCCAGCAAGCCAGCAAGCAAGCAAGCAAGCAGGCAAGCAAGCAAGCAAACACACACACACACACACAAAAACAAGCAAATAACGCAACAAGCAAACAAGCAAACAACGCAACGCAACACAACGCAACGCAATGCAACACAAGCAACGCAACAGCACACGCGACGCGACACGACGCGACACAACACAACTGATTGACTCCTGTTCTGAATCCCAAGCCTTGAAAGCCATATTGAGCTTGCATATTAGCTCAGTGCAAAGGCCCAAACAATTAGGCATTATCCTGGTGCCGCTGGACGACTTTGACCCACCTCACCGATGCACTAGTGGGCAACCATGCAAGTTTCCAATAGGGTCGTCTTAGGGCACATCAAAGACCAACTGAGAACACCCCAATGATTGTTGTCTCAGGTCTGCGTGAAGGAGACAGGATCTACGCATACTATGTCATAGTGATTCGCTGATCCTTTGATACAAATTACTCTTTTGAAAAGGACGTCAAGAACCCCTCTAAACAGTGAACATCTACAAACAGATAAGGAAATGAGTGGCTGGCAACACCGAAGGCGTGTATTCATAGAACACAATGCGAAACACCAATCAGGAATCCCCTGGCGGGTTGAGCCATGGTTCTTCCAAAGACCTACAAGCAGATTCCTGGCCTAAGTGGCCCAAACGCTGGATTCCCCGAAACCACCCCTCCTCGACGCTGGCAGAAAACGCCCGAGTCGAATTCCGGAAAATAGGCAGAGACGATCTGCCCGCACATGCAGAGCAAGCCAAGAGGTCGAGCGATGTGCTTGGACAATCGTTGGTATCGCCCCCAACGCTCCTTCAAAAATACAAAAATCAGCGATGACACATCGTTGGCAAAAGGGTGGTGAAACATGGGGTCCCATGCGACATAATCAAAGAGTTGCAAAGTGATCTACTTGGAACCATGTAGTGAACTGAAAGGGCGGAAATCCGCCCCTATTTATGTTTGGGATATTCGTCTACCCCGGTTGCGTGCTTTCGTAGAAACTCTGGTATCCATTAGTTGGGGGTTTGGATTGGTGGTTTGAGGATTTGACCCCCTGGTTCTTGTAGAAGGTATATAAGTCCCAACCACCGATGTGAGGGAAGCTGAACACAGGCTAATTCCCTTCCCTCCAAGCTGCCAAAGCTTTGGCTTACCGTGATGCGAAATGGCTCCTGGTCCTCATTCCAAAGCTCCAGAACAAAACCCAGGGCTGTTGGGGCGGACTCAGCTAGTATCTTCCCAATCCTTGGCGTAAGCAAAACAAAATGTTTCTCCAGCCCACTGAAAATGAACAGAACCAAAGACTAAAAACCAGAAACATATGCGAAGAACAGCGAAGGTATGCAATCCACTGTATCTAAGGTCAACACCTTGGCATTGCCTGCCAGCTCCTTCCTATCGATTGGTGAAGCTGATGTCCCTCTGGCGCGAGCAGACTGGCCCGGCGGGTCGCTCGTTTTTGTTTCTAGCTTCGCTGCATGTACAATCATGCGTATGTGTATGCGGCACAACAAACAAACGCGTATCACCATACATGGCTATGCACACCACGCTCACGATTATGCAAGTCTACACGACTCTATGTA